TAAATTATGTTAAATATATGCTAACATCGCGTTCTGAATATAGGCGAATATTGTTGAATACGAAAACTATAACAAAGATGCTTTTTTATGTTATTTTTAATTTGTAGATATTGATAGGGAAGATTATATATAATTTGTAAATGATAAATTTTGCAAGTTACACTTAATGAAAATATTTCTTTTTCTTAATGTTTTACCGTAACTATTATTTATTTATTTATATTATTATATATTACTATTTATATTACTACTAATAGTGGTATATGTATATGTATATAGCTAAAACAAATGACTACACAACAAAGCCTTTTTATAATACATATTTAGATCATCTTTCCTCCTTAATGCTTCCTCGCTGGAATACAAGACTGAAGGACCAAGTCTTATCTCTACGTAATCCTTATTATCTCTAGCGCATACAAACATGCATTCTCATGTTCTTCTCTTATATCTTCTGCATATATAAATGCAACAACCGTCATCAATCTGAATAATTTATTTCGATTAACGTAAAGATTAGTAAAAGCGCGATAAATTTTTAAATAATTTTTGCTATTTTCAGCGGGAATTAAAAATATAGTATAATAGATTATTACACTATTTCATGTACACTATTTCATGAAATGTGGAGCGAAAACGATCCGTGTTTTTCCATTGGTCTCGAATTGCGGTGCCAAGCGTTGGAAAATAGTTGAGGCTGGCAATACTTTGTTTCAGTTGTTAAGCGATACGGCGCACGCGGTTGGCATCGTTTCCCAATAAGACTGCCACGCTACTGTACAACTAATTTCCGGGGCTGGTTCCAAAACTAAACGCCCCGAGAAGTTCTTGCTAGTAGCTCATTAAGTTAGATTCTAACAAGTTTAACGTATTTTGTTAACTTTACGTATAGAGGACGAATAGAATGAACACTTAAAACAGACAAATTAAGCAGTTTCATTTCCACATAAAACTATACTTTTCAAAAATAATCTATATTAAGAAACATTTCTATGGTAAATATTAAGCAAAAAATTAAAACATATAAAAATTGTAATATTATTAAATATAAAAATGTTTAATATTATATTGTTATGTTTAATATTAAATATGAAATATTAAATTAAATATGTTTAAATATCTCCATAAAAAAATTCGCAGCTAATAAGTAAATACTTCATGAAATTGTCTAATATGCGAATTCTTTATAATATGCATTCGAAATTAAATAATTCTTTAGATTATTAAACCACAAATATAGAAGGAAGGGGAACCATAATCCATAACGTGAGGTCAACGGCACTAAGAGGAGCCAGAGAAATTGCCGAATATTTGTTTCCGAATCGTAGGATTTCAAGCAATTCCTAATTGAAACCAACGGTAGCCGCAGCTTAAATCAGTAAATGCCGGTGAGGCTGGTCAGTTTCTGGAATATCCGCCATTCTGCGTCCATGCTAGATTGTGGTTCCATTTGCAAGATACGTATCGAGCAGTGGGCAATTTCCTAACAGCGATGCATAGGGTGTACACAAAGTCCCCGCGCAATCTCGTGAAATCGGTAACTGTTACAATAAATTAAACGTTATCGGATTGCAAAAAAATAAAATAAAGATCTTTAAAACATTTCATAACATTATTTTCTAAGCATTTCTTAGATATTCGGATTGTTTGAAAATGTAAATCTAATTCAAAGATTCCCAAACTTGCATGAATCGTGACGCACATTTAAAAAATGACAAACAACTGCAATCTATCTAGCGTGAATAAACATTTAAAGAAATGAATAAATAAAGTATTTATTTATACCACTACATTGTTCCTACTGTATAAGTCTTTATTGAATACAATATTTATTTCTCAGATATACACACATGATGTATGTATGTGCAAAGAATGCTTATGTTTCCTTTTTCTATTGACGATAGCTTTGATGTCAACATCAATGTAATTTATTTTTAGACCTAAGAAGTTTAATAACACAAGCACAAAAAAAAGTTTGATCAAATTGGAAATTATATCATGTGATATTCTTATGTATTTTGACATTCTGAATTTAATGTCCAAGTCGTTCCCTCACAGTTTTTTATTGATGGAAATAGATCAATTTTCAAGTATTTTTAAAGTCATTTAATATGCAAGCTAGTAGATTAAAAATGACTGTATTACATATTTGAATTCATGAGATAGTAAAAAGTATTAAAAACCAGCCCATAAATGGCTATAAAAATATAGGAAAATAGAATTATTTTCCGTCGATAAAAATTGTGACGTAATGGAGCAATTTAGACTCGAGAGACTTCAGAGCGTTAAAATATTATGGCACCATCTCCAATCAATTACACAGGCATACAAAAAAATATTTTTTTGTATGCTTGTGTAATTGTAGTTTATTTCACAATTTTGTTTTGTGTGTATGTGTGTGACTTCTACCATCGTTACAAATCCAATTTCACACATGTACAAAGTCATGAAAAGACGCGCGCGCATGCAAATACAAATATTCAAAACAATGAAATGTGATTTAATATTTTCAATTTTTTTCATAAATCCTCAACTCATCAGCTATTATATACCGATGAGTTGTGATTCACACTTTGGGAATCTCTGATTTTATATGTAGATAATTATTTGCAAGACTCAAAATTTAAAGTTACATGTATGCAGTTATTAGGTGAGAAAATATATTGATATCAGCTTAATAGAGAAACAGTATTATATATGGGAAAACACTTTTGAATGCGTGACCGGGTACGCAGATGTCGAGATCAAGATTGTGTCACCGAAGGACGATGGTCTACCTCTCGTCACGTTTGCCGGATACGAATCTCCGAGCGATGACCAAGAAGTAACGACCGGGAAGTCCGGTGGTAGAGAGATCGTTCTTAAGGGAAAGTTGCTCGCTGTTGATTCAGCATGGGTCTGCGATGGCGAACACCTGTTACCGCTATCTCGAGTTTAATCAAGGTCCTGACTCCCATAGGAGCGGCTACAAGCGCGGCTCTCTAACTGACGTGATGCCGCGGGACGACCGGGTTTAGCGCGTCGTTGAGCGCTTATGGGATACGCTCGTTAAAATCGACTATCGGAAGTACCGACCGCCAGCGAACGTCCGGTAATATTCGGGTCACCCTTGGAACGCCATTTAATATACGCCGAGCGCTGTACAAGGGCTCCTACCAAGTGTTACATCTCAAATAATGAAATATGATTCATAAATGTTGATTATAAATGAGATAAAAGCTAGTGATTGCGTTCACAAGAAAAAGCAACTTTGCTACTGTCGTAGGATTCTATAATACGATTAATTTATACATTTAAATCGAGGAAATAAGAATAAGATCAATTATATTGAAGAATTTTACAACAGTTTCAGAGCTGCTTTTTCTACTGGATAAGATAACTTGATTGCATCTTTTTTGAAATTAAAATATATTTCTCGCTACGTAGTGTCTTCTGTTCAAAAGACATCAAAAGCTACTCGAAACTTCGAAACTCCAAATGAAATATGCAGTTTACATTAGAATGTAAAATCACAAATTATAATTACAAAGAAAGCTAATTTGAAAGTTTTATATCACAAATTTCATATTTTAAAGTGGCAAATTTCTTTAAGGAATTTGATATCACGTATAAAGAAAAAAGGAAAAAGATGATATATAATTTATAATAATGAAAGAGAAGAAAAATTTGAGATTTTTCTCTCTTCATTTTCAATCTTTTTTGTATTAGATTGCTAATTAACTTTCTTCGTGTGTCTTATATACAAACTTATTTGCCACGAAGGCAACCACGATTGCTTTAATATCGATGAAATAACAGTTTCTAGTTGAAGTTATAAGCCACATGGGTGAAACAGTACAGCTAAGTGAAACAATATTGCCAATATCATTTTCGACAACCAGGCGTATAAATAAATATAAAAAGTTCCAATAAATGCCATGTTATAGATACAAAAAATTATTAATATATATATATACATAGATATAAAAAAATAAAATAATTTTCACTTATTACTTGTATTAGAAGATTTTGGAAAAAAAACGTATATCTCATACGTAAAAAGATCCAAATTTAGAGTAATAACGTTCTGTAATACGTGATGAAAATTTTAACACATCAGGCATCACAAATGAAGCGATCTACGTTGCTTACGGCAGCGGCGTTGCCAATTTACCGTTAAATAATTCCATTCATTTTCGACGGTCTAAACGAATACGCCGACATAAAATATCGATCATCTAATTTTTCGGTAGCTTGAATAATGCATGCCAATTTGAGTAAAACGTATAAAATCGCGAAGTCAAAATTCCATAAGCGTGCACAACCAGACGAAATGTCATCGTTGTTCCGAAGGTAATGAGAGGTTGTTGGCCATCTTGTCATTGACTTCATGCACCGCACACGTTTATGGCTTAGAAAATGCCGAATGTGTCCGAGTGCTTCGCAAGGGAGACGATTTAATTCCAGTCACGTTCAGCAAAGTCGCGTCCTACTTCGTTGTCATTTGGCAGAAATATCTGAGTAAAAACAGGGGTCTCTTCGTAGAGATAAATGTGTGTGCAAATTATATAATGTTATATTATATAATCTAAAATTTCTAACAAGATACGATTCAATTTTTATCTTTGTATTAAAGTGTACATACACTGGATATTTTGATGTAGTAATATTTTAAACATATTTCTCTTGACCAATTAAACAAGTTTGTTAAGTAGTTGAATATTATCAAACAAACAAGTATGGCATATGTTCTATTTACAGAAATGTACGACTCTATTTTTATTTTGTATAAAAATACACACAGGATATTTTGATCGAGATACAGGATAGTAATATTTTAAACCCATATTTCTTGGTCATTTAGACAGGTTCGTTAAACAAGTTTATTAAGCAAACAAGAATAGAATGTTCTGTATGTAAATATACAATTCAATTTTTGTCTTATACAAAAATGTACACAAGCTTTTTCGAGATGGTAACTCGATATTGGAATGCGTATTTCTCAGCCAATTAAACGGGTTCGTTAAATGGGTTTATTAGACGGGCAAGAATAGAGCGTATTCTATTCATAACAATCAATATTTCATTTATTTCAATTCGCTATATTACTTATCCATGCTGTAAATACAGTTCTTGTTCTACAAGCAATGCCATTTTTCTTTCGCGCGATAGCGACGCGCGTATCTGAATGTTCGGCGACGTAATTGCACGTCAGGACGATAAATCCTTTCGGCCGAAGAAATTCTTGATCCACGGCACGCATCCTGTTCGGTGACAGGATCGTTCTAACAGAAGGATAAAGGACGGACATAGATAAATCATGATGTTTTGGGTGTCGAGAAAAGAAGCAAGAAGGAAGAGAGGAAGATATAGGGCTGATTTCGTAATATTTTCTTTCTCGGTAGCTTTATCTTTTCAAAAAAATTGCCGTTGAATTTGCAATTATTTACATAAGCGTTATTTGACAATTTCACGAAATAACAATGTATTGACACATGTTAATTTAAATCAATCTGTATAGTAAAGTCACCTTAATCTTGCAAGAAAAATAATTTTTCCGATAATACATTTAATAATAATTTTCCAATTTTAAGTTAATTTTTCCTCACACACACACACACACACACACACACACACACACACACACACACACACACACACACACAATTCGTGTCTAAAGTAATTTAATTCGTTTAAAGAAACGTAATTCTGTGGATTTTTAAATCAATAACTAACAGCAATTTTAGAAATGAATCTAAGATAATAACTGAGAATAACTATGAAGATAAATTTTTCATTTAAAAGATGTTTTAATGGAATTTAAAGATTTTCTATATTGAGAGCTAATTTCATGAAAAATCATGGGTAGAAAAGATAGATACTATCGGGTGTTTCCTAATGTCTCTGACAGATTCTTAGGAGTTGTTTCTCCACATCACAGATATTTGTTGCCAGCCGGACAGGTCACACGCTTCCATTTGTCTTGAATTTTCTTATCATGAGGATTGGCAGAATCCATAAACACTTATCATGAAACACTTACCCGGATAAAGGAAGAGTCTGGAGCCGATGACAGCTAAAGGTCGTCGCTTCCACTGAGGAAAAACCAACCCTTTCAATACAAAAGTATAGCCACAGCGAGTATATCCCACTAGAGCTGGCAATGGCGATGCGGGTCCTGGTAAAAAAAGAAAAAAGATAAAACGGTGACTAACTGCGACTTTAATCAACGTGCAAACAATTCAGGTATCAACCCTTTAGAGGCGACACATGTGACTTTTTGAGATCAAAGGATTAAAGTCTTGATACGATTACATAAATTTTCTGATATGCTAAAAGAGAGCAGATTTATTAAAAAAATAATTACATTACTGAATTTACATTTACATTATAAATTTTATTATTAAAATTTATGATCTGTATCATAAATATTTATATTTCTTTTTAATCTAAAGAAACTGTTATATATATATCAATAAATAAATATTTCACTCAGAAAATTTTTTTTTCGTAAAAATAAAAATTACATAAAAATTATAAAATATTAAATACATACATTATAAGGTTGTTAAAAAGAATATTCATAAACAGCATTTACATACATAATATATATAGTATACACCATATAGAAAAAAGCTTTAATAAAAATAAATTGAAAATTTAACCGTAAGATACGTAAAACAATTTTATATGTTAGCATTATAATTGACTTATTGACTTCTACGTATTGCATACAACGCAAATATTTACTTCAGTATCGCGTTCTAAATGTTCTGATTCAATTTCCACATAATATAATGAAAAATTTTATCAGGAATAAGTTGACATCAACCATCTATTACAATAGGATGAGCATTATGGGATATCACTTTATTGAATCTAATTCTTTCAAATAGGCTACTAGTGATATTTATCTAAATTTTTCTTTTTTCATGTCGTGTGCAGGAATATATTAAATTACGTCAATATAATTATACATGATACTTAAAAAAATTGCAAAACATAAATTTCTTATTATAAAATATTTATATTTCTCTCTTCATCATTTCTGAGAAAGTTTGCAGATTCTATTCAAAACTGTTCGATATACTGCGGTATATGGAATTTTTCATTGCATATGCGGCGGCAAACGGCGCGCAGGAAAATTGAGTTACGTTCACAAACAGAAACGCAAATTTCCAGAGAGTTTTGCAGACCATATGCGAGATGCGAATCAAAATGTTATTTTTTCGACTCATTGCAATATAGACCTTTAAACGTTTTGAAGAGAGATGTAAAACCATCACAGCTAACTTGTAAAAAGTATCCGGTGTTGAATCACGCTCATAGTTTTCACACATTTTTTAAACAATTTTTCAACGTGTTTGATCGTACAAATAGTATTTGGTATTAACGTATTTGAAAATAACGTTTTTACATAAATTCTCGCGAGAGTAAAATTAATTTCAAATTTATGTATCTACATCCATTGAATATGTAAAAGATGCAAATATTATGAAACCTTTAATGTGTCTAATTTTTCTAAAAATTCTATACGTACTGTAACTAATTTTAAAAGAGTTTTCAAAACGCTTCAATAAATAAAAAGTTTTAAAGTTTTTATAAAAACATATTTAGAAATTGACCGACGCACGGCAACCAAGCATATACAAACGTGAAGGAAGTAAAGTTTCCGTTATCAGAAAAAAAGCAATTATTACCACGGCAGCGTCTGATATTTCCTTGCGGACGTGTAAATATCAGACTACGTCGCCAACGGCGAGAAATGCTCGTGAGCTTTGCTTTACCATCTCCGCGATAAAATCCAATAAATCGTGCGCGGTTATTAAAGCCAGCGTGCGTGAGCTTTATTGCGACTGGAAAATGCCATGATACGAACAATATTCAACAATTTCAAAGGGAAAGGGATTTATTATGCGAATATAGATTCTGTTATTTTATTAAATAAAGAAAGAACATGACTGATCCTCTGGAATTAAAAATGACCAACTATACTCCGATTGGGATTAAAGAAAAATTGAAACAGTATTGGATCTTGGTAGTTAAATCTTGGAGATGAAAAATTTTTAATAAAATTAAAATTGAAATTTGATTATGTATGCATGTATTATATATATGTACTATCTGAGAAAAAGCGCTTTTTCACCTACCTCACAATACTTTAGGAAAGGAAATATACACACACACATACACATATATATATATAATTTTGTTTATTTAAATCATTTCTCAAAACATATTCTAATATTATTCTAATATATATTATATATAATATAATATATATTTAATATAAAATAAATAAATATATATTATAATACATTAATTTATATATTCTCTCTCTCTAATGTTTGTAGATTTTTATATATTTGATATTCTCTTAATATTTATGTTCAGAGATATTTATATCTTCTCGAATCGCGAGAAATCAATCGTAAGTTTAGCCGCAAAGAACCGAAGTCTATTTTCTCTCTAAAATGGATTATATTCGTCATTTAGCGTTCGATACTTGAATTCTGTTTTCGCGGACGAAAGTTGCTTCGGGAAATTACAGGCAAGAGCATGGGAACACGATAATCGGCGTTTAACGCGTTAGCTTAGCTAGGCAAGCGGTCGCTTGCCAGGGTGACGGCGGTGGCGCGAGCGTGCACTTCCGGCACTTCCGGCCAGGAAACTCTCAGTCGTTAGCGGTTATTATGGTTAAATATGCTGGCGCCGGCGGCGTCGGTGCAGTGGTATGCCGCCTGCTAGATAAATTTGCTGTTTTAACGCTCAACCCCGCCTGCATCAACGTGCGCGACCTCACCGTAATCCCGCCCCAATTCTGTGCTACGAAACATCAAACGGCACGTAAACGTGCGATACCGCCGGATTTACAGTCACGGTATAAAATGGAAGAATTTATATGTGCTACGAAAGAAATTTATAAGCTAGAGGTTATATTAAGCTACGATAGACAAGTGCGAGAGCTGATGCTCGATACCTTTACGTTTCTGAATTATTAACAGTAAATACGGTTCCAATCATCAATCTTTTTGCATCTAGGTGGTACGTGCCCATCTTTCCAAGTTTCTACATTTAAATTTTTCGTATCTCCCAATTTATAAAGCACAACTACGAGTATATGAAAAATAAATGTCGGCGAAATCTCGGATATTCACGTGGATGATTTGCAGCTATAGGGAATAAAAGAAAGAATTCTGGGAAAAATTCTAGGAATTTACCTATGTTCCGTAAAATTGGATAAACAAAAACAGATTTTGAATATATAAATAAATACAATTTTTATTATACGTGGTTATTCGACATGTATCTAGGATTTTTTTAGGGGAAGTTGTCAAATCTATTATGTATTATAAATATATAAGCACAGTTATGTATCATACATAAATATCCGGTGTATCATATATAAGCAGTAATTTTGACCGACGGCTTTCATTTGGTCGAATGAAATATTCATTAATATATTTCAACGCATTTTGTTTTTCTCGAAAATCTTGCAAAAATTTTTCTAATGTATTGAACATTCTGATAAAGTTTTAAAAGAGATTCCATAAATTACTTACGCATAACGCGGAGAAAAAAAATATTTTGTGACAACAAAAACTTATTTAGAGTAAAAAAGTAAAAAAATATTTCATAGTAAAAATAAAAAAATTAACAATATCAATTAAAGAAAATTCTCGAAAATTTCAAATAACAAGAATAGTAAGGCTAATGAGAGCTATTCGCTGTTGTTAGTGCGATCATATATAAGATATGTTAAAGTGTGAAAAAAATAATAAAAAATTTCGGAGATGGTTTAAACTCCCTAAACTTTTCCCTGAATACATCCATGATGCATGGATATATATAAACTTTGATTTAAAAAATTAATTTAAAAAATTTTGATTTAAAAAACCTCAATCGTTAAAAATTGAAATTGATGCGTTTCGAGATTTCGTGCGCGTTTATAGCTTTAAGCATACAAGTCTTGTTTTCTGTATCCTTGCACATTTGTATCTTTGCAAATACGGTTGTTGGAATTTTGCATATCTCGATCAAATAAACAACAAACATATGTAACATAAAAAATATGGAAAAACACACACTGACACGCCGTTTGGACGTCCGAATGTGAAGCGCGGAAAGTGTTTACGATTGCCAGTTTTCCCGGTATCAGTCCGACGAAAAACAGAGTGCGGACGTCTCTCAGGTCAGAATATCAATCACCAGTGGTGTCCAATATCGTTGTGTCCAGCGGCGAAATGTGAACACTGCCGGTTTACCGGTACTCACAAAAACTATGTATTTCGAGTTTACACGAGAGTAAACAGAAGCCGTAGAAGTGCGAGGGGTAATTTTCAAAGTTCGTTCGTGAAAAGCAGCTAAGAAGACGGACAAGTAGCTCTTAAACAGAGTAGCACGAAAGTTACTCCGACCTCTCTCGGATTATATTTCTAAGATGAATACGCATACCGTAACGCTGTAAGAGCAAATCGCAGAATTGCCTTATATATCTCGCCATTAAAACCGTAATTACGGACGTTAAAAGCAATCGTCCGTTGGCGAGTTTTGCGAAAGTACCGGCAAAAAAAAAAAAAGACGAAAGAAGATAAAAATAATCACGAAAAGGCGAGGGAATAAATGCCTTCACAGCCTTGCGATGACGACGACGATGATGCACGCGCGACTCGCCCGCGCGCAACACACTTTAACTTAATTAACTCGGCTAAATTGCGCCACGTAAGTTACGTAATGCGCTTCGAGTTTATATCGCCGGCGACCGAGCGGCGCACAGAAGCGCCCTGAAATTGCTCATTAATAGCAGCAATAACGTTATAATTAGCGTAGCACGCGCGCGAACTTGCCCATCGTTTCGTGTGTCCCTGTATAGCGAGATCGCTCGCGAAAGTACCTACTTACAGCTCTCGTGTCGACACAATGGCCAACTGTCGTATACGGGACGTTTTGTTTAAGTGGAACGAACGTTTCCTAAGGCGAACGTTTCCGATGTCGAACTTCAAAGTCGCGCTGGGTCATAGGATGACTCGGTAAACAAAAAAGAAAAAGTAGAGTATGGTTGAAAGTTTTGCTTTCGTAATAACTGTAATATGATGCTGTAAGGAGGACGCGATTATCATATAGCCAGAGTCAGCAGAGCGTGGCCATCCATCGAATTCGTTTCTCCTTTTTTTCCTTGGAAAGAAATCGAAGAGATATATTACGTTCTTTATTTTTAGCTAGAGAAGTAACTCTTTTATATTATACTTCTTTTATAACGCTTATAATATAAAACTAATGTGTTTGAAACTATGTGTTTGATAAATTATAAGATAAATTTGATTCAAAATTTGATAATACTTGTTAGATAGTACGTTAAAATTGAGAGGTAAGACATCTTGAAACATCATTTAAGACATTTTAAGATTAATTTTAGACATACATATTATTTATAGATATTTTTAGAAATTAACCTGATTTAGCCACAGTTACTCTATTTTATAGAGTATACAAAAATATTCTATGAAATTATTCAGAACACGAGTCACTATAGATACGTTCGATTCTTCATCTCGCTAAACTACTCGAGTCCGCGTAATCAATAGGCACACCACTTATAATTAGCCAAACCGTGCGTCTCGTTAATTAATCATCACGACTTGGCGAATGAAGGTTAAGACGACGGGAATTAGGTAGGTGCGATTCTCGCAAAAGTTGTTCGCGAGTGCTGGGTGACGAGGAAACGGGTGAGATGACGAAGTGCTCAACTAATGCAATTAGTTTACAGAAGATGGTGCACGTCGAGAATGTAGTCGAGATGTAACGAAATCCGACGCGCTTTGTAATTATCGGGATTGGAATTTACGTGGACTTAATAAAAGTGCGTATATACATAGATGCATTATATGTGTAAACATAGAGTAAACGGAGTAAAGTAAATCGGATTACAGAGAAAATCGGGTCAATATAAGCTTGGAGACATTTGTTAGTTTTCCTGTTTCAAAATAAACTGTTTTATTATGCTAGCTACTTCTGCGTACTTCCTTTGCATCGGAAACTGACAACAGTTCTATACGTTTTAAACGTAGCATAATAATAATAAGAATAGACTGCGCAATCCTATATAAAGTTGTCGGCTATTAATTTAGAAAGAGGTAGCTCAAATCATATCACACACACACACACACACACACACACACACACACACACACACTCTCTCTCTCTCTCTCTCTCTCTCTCAAGTATCCAAGATTTCAGTCAGAAAGAGGGTAAAAGTTTATCTTCACTCAAAACTTGTTAAAATACTTATATTAAAACCAGTATATTCGAGAATTTTTAGTGAACTTTCTTACGAATAACGTGCGAGCCACAAATTGACCATTGATCAGTTAATTTTTCATTATAAAAATGATTTTTATAATTTAATTGTTTCTTCTTGTCAAAATTTGAGAGAAAGTGCAAATGCTCATTCTGCCATTATTGCACTCATGTCTATCTCTCCCTTTAAAGCTTATATTCGCGATCCGATGTATACAAGATGTATCTACACTAACAATAAGACACATCTTATATATAATGTATATCCTTCAATAACACCTTTACGTCACAACAAAGTGTTTTTTTAGAATTAATTGAGCTTCGGTATAACTATTCATCAATATAAAATTATAAATTAACGAATAAATGAAAAGTTAATTGTTTATCACTTATTTTCTTAAATAAGATAGTAATATAATTTATAAACCAATTCAGAAGAATAAGTTATTTCTAAGTAAGTTGAATAATATATACAGACAGTATACGTAAATAACAAAATAGAAGGTATCAGTATTCCAATAACATCTTATAAATTTAAAAAGTCGTTTGAAATAAATTATTTAAAATAAAAGAATTTTGTTTAAAATAAAAGAAAATATATGCGCGCGCAAAAGAGATTTTTACAATAACTCACGAAGTAAAAAATATATTATTATAATTTATACTAACCTACGTGAAAGCCGATGAGATGTCTGAGTTCTGGATCAACTCCTAGACGAGCGCGTCGGAACACATCCTGGTAACCAAGTCTTTGAAGAAATTGATCCTGAATCTCCAGCGGCTTTTCTTGAGACGCCAACCTTCTGCCTGGTTCACCGCCATACTAGAATATAAATTTATGAAATGTTTATTTTAACAACGACCAAAAAGCACAAAGAACATTATCACATTCAAGAAAGAATGAAATTTGCGCGGAAAGGACAAATATTAAAAGTATAAAAAGAAAAGTATACGAGTCTCATTGTCAGACAAAATTTGTAAAAGAAAATTAAGCTATGATAAAATTATATATAAATTTTATTATTTTTTTTATATCAATTTTTGTTTTATAATGATGATTATTTAATAATTGATAAAAACTTTCAATAAAATTGAAGTAGAATTCTAATAAGGATATCTAATTTTGATATTAATATTGTGAGTAACATATTTTACAATTTACTGTAATGCTATTTCATAAAAGCTCTTCAATGAATTAAAAAAATTGAAGTTATTCTCTTAGAAAATAAGGCTCATAACTTCTGCTAATTAAGAAAATATTTTAACGCAGTTAGATCTCATTATTTTCTTACTTCTTTTGTACTAAGTCGTTTCTTCTGTAAATCAAATATATTGTCATGTCATTAAAAATCATAACAAAAATTTAATCGCGGAATTAATTACCAAGCTCAATAAAAATCGAAGGATGTTAAAATGAAATGTAAAGATAATAGCAGATAACAGAAGCGTATTCTGTATGTAATTAATTCGCAATGAATCTTTCGTTAATTACAGACAATTATTGCTGTCAATTAAAAATTAAGAATAAAATAAAAAATGTAAAAGTTAAGATTTTAGTTTTAATTTAGAGATATTGAATTATTATATATTATAAATAAAAGGTGTACGATGTTTAATCCTTGAATAACGTAAAACATATTGTGCAAAGTTAAAATATAATTTAAATTTAATTAAATTATTATTGTAAACGCTTTTAAGTTAAATTTATTTTTAGAAAAGTTACTCGTTGTACATTTTA